TTTCATGCAAATATAAAAGATGCATATGTTTCAAGTTCGCGCTGAATCTATGCAATACTATGATCTTCAGATATAATTAGAACATGGGCATTCTGTATTTATTTTCCCCTTCTGCCTCACTCGGAAACCCCAAAGAAAGGAATAATCCCGCTGAAGGACTTGCAACACATTTGTCTCCTCTTGTAACCTTCCCTGGCAGTGTTATCAACAAGCCTTCAGTCACCTAGACGGCCCGAATTGGCAGGAAAAGATCATAATCGGAAGCAGAAGTTGAGCAAACAAGCAATCTGACCTCCCTCTGTGCTTCAGGAGACTCCTGCCAATGGAAAGGGCCTCTTCAGTCTGAATGGATTTTTCCTGATGCCCAGCACATAAGGGGATTCCAATCTAGCAAGTTCAGTGTTTGTTTTCTGCCTCTTTAATAAATACTAATAACAGCTGCTTTACTTAAGATGGGCGGCTGAGCATACCAATCATGAGAGAAAACAGAATGCCATGACTTTTTGTGCTATAGATGCTTGTTAAGCACTAATGGCAATGGGAAAGTGCATGACAGCTATACAAATATGGCACATGACTTTCTAATTCAGTTTTACCTACATCAGCAATGGGGAACAGATGCTGGAGGAGATTTATAGCTCCCAGTAGCCTCCGGCCAATGCTGAAACATGCTGGAAATAGTAATTCACAACAATCCAGGTAAAGCAAGTTCCAATCTCTCTCCTGTTCAACAAAAAAATCGCATTTTCCCCTCTAATGTTTTAGATAGCATCTTAGACTACTGGAAATTCCAAGGATTGAATCAAGGATATTCTATATTTATTGCAGGTGTATTCTGTAAGCAATAGCATATTTTGATTTTTTTTTCAAAAAAATTGCATCAGAATACTGAATTCTTAGAATCCTGAAATATCAACAGCCATTTCATCAAAATATAACTTTTTAAAAATAATTAAACTAATCAATCAAGGATCTGGAACATCTACTTTATGGGGGAAATCTACATTTAGAAATTCTTAGTTTGACTAAAATCCAGTGAAGAGAACATCATAAAGATATCTACAATTATCTATGGTGTGGGGAAAGTAGATATTTCCATCTCTCAGAGTGTTATAACTGGTGGTTCTAACTAGACAATGAATGATTCAGGACTGTAATTACATACTTCCTCAGACCCAGCATTTTTAAACTGTAGAGTCTGTTGCTAGAACAACATTAATGATGGCCACTAATTTGGAAAGTGGTCAGGTTCATGGACAATTCAGCCAGCAGTAGCCATGGTAGCTATAGATTATTTCCAATATCAGAGGCAGCAAGATTCATCCATCAATAAAGCAAATGAGTAAGAGGAAGAGCTGGGAAAAACCTCAGGAGGGTCCTAGCAATTCATGAAAAATAGCTAAATCAATGTTTTTCAAACTTGGCAACTTTAAGATGTAAATAGTATGCTGGCTGGGGAATTCTGGGAACTGAAGTCCACATATATTAAAGTTGCCAAGTTTGAAAACATTGAGCTAAATGAGGCAAAAACTATAGCTCCGAGACAACTTTCTGTCTTGTATTCAAATTTCTATCAGCAAATAACTTTGTTTTGTTCCCATAAAATATTTAGGCAAGAGTTTTCCTATCGTTGTCTTTTTTTAAAAAAAATATTTAAGCATGTGTTCACTGATATAGAAATATTTCCCAATTTAAAACTCATTGAGTCAGCTCCCATGAACTACTGCCAATATAGCAAAAAGCAGACTGTGAAATCTATCTCAGTACGAGCACATACTCCCCAAAACAAGAAGTTCCATTTCAATGCCACCCCATAATTATACTTAGGCTATTCAAATGAGGTTTTTGCCATTAAAATAGAATATACATTTACTGTTGGGTGATTTGTAGTAGAGAGAGGATATTTTTCCCCCTTCTAGTTTTTGGACTCAATTTAGGACATTCTCTCAATTCTTCATATTTATATACTGAGCTGCTTTTTTGTACCTGGATATTCAGAGCTCTATTTAAATAGTAACTCCTGCAAGCTTGTTTGCCATCTTGTTTACTTCAATCTGAAGCATTCCTTTATTTGTATTAACTGAGTTTTCCATTATGGCTAATAACATAAAGGAGCCCAAGTTAGGAATCAGGAAAGTTCTTATTGCAAGATGGGGACTGATTGATTTCATTTTGTTCATCTCCTTGGGCTTTCCGATCACATGGATGGGTGACCCATGTGCACCACCCTAACACGAAGGTCATCTCCCATCAGCTCTTTGTACAGAACGGGTGTCTGACTCAGAAGCACCTACAATCAATAATGAGTGAGATGTTATAGCAGTGCTACCTTGCTACCATCTCATGTTGCTTTTAGCCATTTTGGCACTTTAGATTTCTGAATAAAGTTCAAGGCCGTTGACTAACACATTCCATTGCATCCTCCATAGCTAAGAAACAAAGCACTAGATTTAAGCTGGAGGCAAGCTTAAACTGAGGACAAGCTTGATATCAACACTTGAGATCTCTAGTAGACTTTGAGCATCAACTGGCTCTAGCACAATATTTCCCTGAGTGCATTCACCAACTTTCTCTGAAATGAATTCGTGACTTATTTACCCCTTACCCCTGGAGACACTCTATGAAGACAAAAACAACGCTGAAAAAACACTGTGGACAAAAAAGAAAAGTGCAGGCAGAACATTGGGACTACTTTAGACAATTTGATGTTCTCCAGAAGTTTTGGATTTAAATTTTGACAAACCTTGTCATTGGACATTCTGTCTAGAACCGATGGGAGTAAATATTCAATATATCTGAAGAACATCAGAGGTCTTCACTGTCCCTTAAATCCACACCTTACTAAGTTGTTCTAGCAACAAGGATTTTTTTTCTCCACTTCTGTATAATATTTTATCAATGACAACCTCATTTTGTCAACACAATTTTGCGGGAGTAGGAAAAATGTCTTTCAACCCTCAATCCACAGTGGTAATGATTAGTTTGTATTAAATTAGTTCATATCACTAAGTGTTGTATCTTATGATTCTTGGTGAATGTATTTTTTCCCATATGTACACTGAGAGCATATGCACCAAAGACAAATTCCTTGTGTGTCCAATCACACTTGGCCAATAAAGAATTCTATTTTATACTATTCTAAACACCTGGCTAATGTTTATTCATTATTCATCTTCAAGGGAAATGGGCATGTGTGCCAAGACTAAAAAGAGAAATGACAACTTGTGGACCCTTCACCATTTTTATCAAGATAATGGTATGCACGTGTGTGTGTGCTTGTATACAAACATAAACACACACCAACTAATCTGAACAGGAAAAATGATTTCCAATTTGAAATAATTACTCTCTGTAGAGCTTTAAACTTTAAATAAAACATTAATTCCAGGCACAGGGGAAGGTATTCACTGTTAATTAACACACTGTGGGTGTTTTCACAAAAACTTCCACTCCAACCTACTTCAGAGAATTATGAGAATAGGGCCAGTTTCTCTTACTTCGTAATAAAAAAAAAATGTTGAGGATTTGCTGTGGGGTAATTGAATTGTATTGTTTAACATGACACTAAAGCATGGGTCTCCAAAGTTGGCAACTTTAAGGCTTGTGGACTTCAACCCCCAGAATTCCCCAGCCAGCTTATTTTTTAAAAATATATTTATTTTAAAATATATTTTAAAAATAAGCTGGCTGGGGAATTCTGGGAGTTGAAGTCCACAAAGTTGCCAAATTTGGAGAGCCACACACTAAAGGAAGACTTTGTGGTAACGTATAAGATTGTGAGCACTTCTGGTTCAGTTCCTAAAAGGTACTTTGCACCGGGAGACACTCCCATTCCAGGAAACGACACAAAGGCTTTCAAGAGCAGCAGGGAGGCTCGCCTTTCATGCTTCTGGAGCACCTTCTTGGAAAGGAAATCACTGCACGGTTCTAAAAAGCTATCTTCTGAAAGAAAGATATCAAGATTAATACAAGGTGGAACCAACCATCAAGAGGGGACAATGGAAGTCTTTGGAAATAAAAGGGTCAGAAAGTGGTTTGCAAAACTATTCCTGTGGGATCGTATCCCCTGAATTGTATTCCTGTGGGAACTTGGCTGGTCCCGAATTCCCAGTCATTGACTCAAAAGGCAGCTGCTTGTGAATTTTGGAGAGTATCCCCAGTAGCTGACAATGTCTCCACGGAACCTAAATCTCATCAGCCTGACCTCTGCGAATGGTGGGCTTTTGGAATATACTTCAGAGCCACGACAAAAGTATAGGATGCGTCTGTATGTATCTGTGTAGAAACTGTGTTTACGTGTGTGCATCATACGAACACATGTTGCAACTGCTTTGCCAAAGATCAGTGAACCTAAATCTCATCAGCCTGACCTCTGCGAATGGTGGGCTTTCGGAATATACTTCAGAACCACAAAGAAAGCATAGGGTGGGTGGGTGTAGATATTGTATTTGTGTGTATGTGCATCACACAGACACCTATAGGTCGCCAAAGATCAGAAAAGTTGGAAAACTACTAAGAAAGGCACTTGCCAAAGTCAGCTGACCTCCAAGCAGGCGGAAAAAAAAATCAAGCCTTCCTAGAGGCTTTCTTGGAGAGGCGATTCCAAGAGGAGAGAACCTCTTCCCGTTTCTTCATAAAGTGCCGGTTCGGTGACCTTTTTATCCCAAACCTCGGAAGCCGTCGGGGTGCGAGAGGCACCATCACCGCTCAGTTCTGAGGTGGTGGCGCCTCCGCCAGAACCGCTGAAGCCACCTCTCGCCTCTCCCTGCGAGGAAATCTGAGGAGAAGGAGCGGGTGGGCCCTTGCAGGCCCCAAACCCGAAGGCCGCTGGGTTTCCGAAGGCGGCGAGGACGTGGTGCGCCTGCTCGGTGGGGGGGGAAGCGCGCCTGCTCGGTGGGGGGGGAAGCGCGCCCGCCAGGGGCGAGAGGCCGGAGCAGAGAAGGAGAAAGAGAGAGACCAGAGAGAGATAAGGCGAGGCCCCCACGTTGCCGCCGCCGCCGTTACCTGCAGCCGCAACTCTCCACCACCATGTCCTCGTACTGTTTGTAAACCACGTTGTTGCCGGAGTCGGTATAGAGGATGCTGATGGGGCTGAGTTTGGACGGCACGCAGCAGCTGGGCGGGGTGGACTCGGGCGCCATGGAGTTCATCAGCGTCTGGATGATGGCGTGGTTGGTCGGCTCCAAGTGGGAGCGCAGCGGGAAATCGCACACGCCGTCGCAGTGATACGCCTCGTAATCCAGGGGCGCGATTATCCAGTCGTCCCAGCCCAGCTCCTTGAAGTTGACGTGCAGCGCTTTGCGACTGCAGCGGCTCCTGGGTTTTTTGCTCTGGCTTCGCCCGCCGGCCACCCGGCCCGCCAGCGCCGTCCGCCGCCTCCGCCGCTTCTGTTTGGCCAGCGCGCCTTGGCTTAATTCGTGGGAGCCCAGCGGGAGCTCGGAGAGGCCGCTCAGGGTCCGGATCTTCTGGCGGATCTCCTTGAAGAGGCTGTCTTTCCGCTTGGTGCGCGAAAACACCACCAGCAGGGCCCTCTCGTGGGGCTGCGATGGGTGCTCCCGGCCGAAGCCCAGCTGCCGCGGAGACAAGAGCTTCCCGGTCTGGGCCGAGGCGATCCTTAGCCAAAAGCAGAGCACGGGCGGGCGCTGCGGACGGCCGCCTGGCTCGGCCCAGGGTCTCAAGGCCGCCCAGACGTCGAAGACTTCCCACTGGGGCGTAGTAGCGTCGCCGGAGCCCAGAAGATCTCCCGCTCTGGAGTCCAAAAGGCCCGGCTCCCGGCCTCCTGTTTGATCGGGGCAAGTCGAGATCAGTAGGCGATGGAGCATCCCTTCCGGGGACGATGCCAAGCTCCTGTTTGCGGCGGCTTTCCGCAAGACCCTCAATTCGGCCCCTACGATTTCGTCCGCCTCCGCCAGGGTCGAGATGTCGAAGAGGTATTGCTGCCCGGCCTCCCAAGAAGAGCCGTCTGAAAGAGAAGAGAAGCGGATGGGTGGAAGCTGCCCTTGTTGTGCCCGAAGAGCAGGGCGGCTCCGTTCCCCTGGCTCTGTACCAAAAGGGGATTCCTTCCCTGCCTGCCCGGTTTACCAACGCTTTAAGTGCCAGCTGGGCAATCCACTTTTTCCCTGCTTTGTTCCCACCATTTTTTTTCCTGACCAATTGGACACAGTTGCGGTTTGGACAAGCTTTTGGGCCCCCAAATTCTGTGGTCGTTCGCCCCTCCCCCCCTAAGTTCCTTCATCACCCCCAGAAGCTCGACTTGTTGCTTATCTACAAAGATACTCAGACCACACACTCAATGCCTGTTGTAAAATAAGTTGAATCCCATAAAGCCTCATGAAATTGCATTAAAATGGTGCTTTGCAGCGTGTGCAGAATGTCTCAACGCAACATGGGGAAAGGAGTTCAAAAATGGCTTTGAAAAATGTGTACAGGCAGGAGGAGAATTTGGGAGCTGAAATCTATCTTAATTTTCAAAAGTTCAGTTGGAGAGGTTCTGACCATAAAAATGACCCGCCTAAAACCTTCCACCCTTCCACAGGCCAAGAGACACTGAAGGAACTGTACAGCAAGCATCTACATTTATTTCCCAGCCCAAGCAGGGAATGGGGCTCTGGGGGAAGGGAGTGGGGGAGAGAAATGGGCCCATGTTTTCCTTCCCACGCTACCCACCCTCTTCATTGCTATGAGCCAAGTTAAACATTTCCCTGGTCTGTCAAGGATCATTTTATTCCTTCACATGTGTGCCTACTTGCACATTTTCTTTATTTAAATGCTCCAGGAGAGAAGGTGGAGGAAGAGAATCGTGTTGAGTGAGTTAAATCCTTATGGGGGTGACCCATCTGAATCCCCTTTCCATCTCAGCTCTTTATGTTAGAAACCAGACATGAACTTTTCCTGGGATTAATTAAAGTAACCAGATGTGACAATAAATATACCCCACCTAACATTAAAATAAATAAAGGGAAGGAAGAGGTGAAATAAATGAAAGAGTGAAAAAAAGATTCTCATGTGGGCTTTCTCAACAGGACTGTAGGATGTGGTTTCCTCAGCCACCTCTCCAAATGCTGGGTAAAATGAATCGCCCGTGGCCAAGTAAGGTGAGCAGTGAAGCAAGGAACTTTTGGCCTTCCAAATGTTCTCAGTGGGCTCACTTGAAATATCCTAATTAAAGCTGCTGGGAATTGTAGTTCAGCAGTACCTGGAGGTATTACCTGACCTTAGTTTACTTCTGAAGCTAAGTAGGGTCCGATTTGGTTAGTGTTTGTGGGAGAGACCATCAGGAAATTGGGAAAGGAGAGAGAGAGGGCCGATTCTGGGAGGAGATAATGGCAAATTCCTGCAACATAGCCATAGTTACATAGGCCCATGAAGCCGCTGGATTTCAAAGGGACTGGATCTTTTATAGCTGGAGAATGGGCCCCACAGCACTCATGAATTGTGGGGCTTGTTAATAGATTGATTAAAATATGACCATGCTGGTCAGTTGCAGTGGCCAACTGTGGGAAGCCTTTTTTTTTTTCTTCCCCACAAATGCAATCAAATCAGTTACAAGGGAGCCAGCATAGAAACTTCAGCAACAGAGTGGTCAATGCCTGGAACTCCCTACCTGATTCCGTTGTTACAGCCTCAACCCCTCACAGCTTCAACCTCAAACTGTCTACTGTGGACCTCACCCCATTCCCAAGAGGTCCTTAAAGGAGGCATGCATAAGCGCACTAGCATGCCTACTGTCCCAGTCTTACTGCCCCCATTTATCTGTATGTACTCCCTTTGTTCTTGTTTATGTTCATACCTACACTTGTTATCTTGTACATGTTTGACAAACAAACAAATAAAGCCTTGAACGTCTGAGTGCAGATCAGAATCAGTATCTTCCTTCCCCAATCTATGGGCCTCCCGGAGTATTGGGGATGGATGACTTGGGACTGTTGGCTGGGAATTCTGGCGACTCCCATACTTCACGGGGTCGGGAACTTGGGACTTGTGTTTGGTCCTCGCATCCTCCATTGAACTCCGTTGAGCTTTCCTTCTTGGCTTTTCGGAAGTCCTTCCTTGCAAACAGGCCATCCAGAGAGAAAAGGGGGAAGGCGGCGGCAGGGACAACCAGAGCCCTTCGGAGCGTTACAAGACTATTATTCCGCTCGCCCGGCGCTCCCAGAGTAGCGTCTCCTGCCTTCTCTACGCCTGCGGCCGAACTCGGCGCGCACACCGGAGAAGCCGGCAGACGGCTATCTCCATTTCAGACCCGGATTTGCGATCTCCATAGTCGCTCTTGAGGCGGCATAAAGTCTCCCTCGTTCCTGTTCAAGCAGCATCACGCGGCAGTTCAGGTGCTGAGTGTCTATGGAGATTCTCAGCCATTCAGGTCATGGTTGTCCCAAAGGTGTTTTTTTTCCCCCAAGAGGCAACTGGACTTCCTTGAAAGTCCAGTTGAAAGTCCAGTTGCCTCTTGAAAAAGGACCTTTGATTCGGATGCTGAGCTATCCGTAAGTAACCACGGCCTTAAGGAAGCCTCAGCGGCATTTCAAAACCACCAGAACTCCTGAAACCTCGACTCCTACTTCTGCAGCATGGGGAACCCAAAACTCAAATCAAACCTGCCCTGATATTCTTCCCCGGCAGATCGACCCACTGAAGCTTTCTTTGCTGTGCTTCTAAAACACCCGGACTTTCTTTCGGGGTTTGCTCACAGTTCATCCAAACTCACAGCCGTCTGGGGCCCTTTATGCTCGGAGAGCAGACAATCAATTGCCAATTGCTGACGAAGGTGAAAGGTTTAGCGTTCGGATCTGCCACGTGTGGCCAAGTATTGCAGGAGGACAAGTCTCACTGTCCATCCTGGTGGAGTTCAGTGGGAGTTGGAGTCCTCCAACAGCTCCCTAAATAATGTTTAAGCAGTTAACTAACAACAGCAACATGAGACCTTTATATTTGTGTGTGTGTGTGTGTGTGTGTGTGTATTTCTATCCTCTATCCAGCCGATAATTTGTTCTCCATTTAAAGATCGGTAGGATTTTAATACAAGAGTTTTGGGATTTCTAAGTAGTTGCAGGTACTTCCTTAAAGGCACGTTCTGATCTTTTAGAAAAAGTGTTGCTTTTTGCTTTTGGATTTTCTTCTTCAGAAGAGGCCTGCCAGAGTATGCTAGCCTGCGAAGCCTAAACACAACGTGATTCCCTCTCATTCCTATTGTTTTCTCCAAGCGATAGAAGGAGGAACGATGTTAAGTCCGAAGTCACTGAACTAACCCAGACTTATTCCAAAATCAGCGAAAAGAAAACATCCACGTGGTTCGAAATAAATTTTAAAAAGGACAAAACATAAATTAGCTAATACCCCTCGCACTGCTGCCTTTCTGTTAGAAAGAGAGCGCAAATCAGTTTAATTTCCTTGATTTAGGGAGCCTCCTTTAACTGAATCAACGTTATAAAATTTGACTCTTTCTTAAAAAAAAAATTGTGAGCATTCAACTCCTTAATGATTCTGTGCAATTAACAAATAAAAAAGAAATCAGCAAAAGATCATAGCAGGTCGAAAGAATAATTCAACCAGCTCAAATTCCACAACCTCCCTATCATAGATTCTCTAGTCACACCTCCTCCTGAATCCGTTAATTTATCTTCGGTGGTTTCTGAGCCATAATCTAGCGTTCTTGCCTCGCCGGCATATTGAAACATGAACTTTTATCAGCAGACCCCTCTGGCCCTTAATGTGCAGATTCATGGGACCTGCGTTTGTGCATACAAATATAAACAGCTGAAAAATCTTTTGGCAGAGATTCCAATCCACGCGTACGCACGATATATTTCTCTAAGGATGATCAGTTACAATACACTTAATGCAGGTCCCCGATCTGCATCTTCCAAGCATGTGGAAGATGTAGATCGGGGACCTGCTCCAACTGCGGGGACCAAAGGTTGCAGGGCAGCCCCGCGTTCCAGTAAGCAGGGGCCTCTTTGATCAGATCTCTCCCCTCCCCACACCACCACCACACACGCACTCGGTCTTTTTCCAATCCTATTCATTTAGGAAACAGCCTGTTTGATGTAGTAGTTAAGGCCCTGGGCTAGAACCGGAAGATTAGGAGTCCCAGTCCCATTTTAGGCACGAGTGACCTTGGGTCACCTCTCCCCCTCCGTCCTGGAAAGGGCGCAATGGCAAACCGCGTTTGAAAAAACCTTGCCAAGAAAACTGCAAGGACTTGTCCAGAGAGTTTTGGAGACTCGGACATGATTGAAGAGGAGGAGGAGGAGGAGGAGGAGGAGGAGGAGGAAGAAGGAAGAAGGAAGAAGGAAGAAGAAGAAATAATATTAGGGAATTTGTGGGCGCAGATCCCGCGTGACTCAGACGACATTGTGGAAAGCCGGCATTTCAAGCACGCACCGCGTCCCCAAGGAGATCGGACAAATCCGCTCTCCTTACTTCAGGTCTTTCATTTCATCCCTAATGGGGGGAAATCCTTGCTCCCCTTACACAAACCGAAAGAACCTAAGAGACAGTCACTATCTAAACCTTTCTTTGGACTTTCTTTGGAGCTTGTAGCTTTAAAAGTGCCTTTCACCCTGCCAGCGGTACATCCTTACAAGGCAGTGTGCTCTCCTACCCGTTACTCCGCTGACTTTGGTTCAGTTACAATAACGGGCGACTAAGTTTCATCGGTAGGGTTGGTGGGCTGTCTGTCCCTTCCTTCCTTTCCTTTCCTTTCCTTTCCTTTCCTTTCCTTTCCTTTCCTTT